CACCAGGAAATGATAAATGTCATCTATCCAATTTAGGCACAATTTAAATAATGATCAGGGCTTAGCTTGTCAAAAGATGTAAAATTATTATTTTTATTCTTGGATAATTTTAAACAAAAAAAAATTATTAAAACCTAAAAGTATATGAATTTGTCTTTTCCATGAATGTCCTGAGACATGAATACATATCTTCAACTAGTGTATAGCTACTGTCTATTTTTCAACATTTTTAGATACATTTGAATGAATCAAGTTTTAAATCATTCCATTGTTACAATAATCTTTCATGTGAGTCTGTTTGAAAGGACTGTGAAAGTGTTCAGATGGTTGTATGGATTAATCCCAGCACCATGGCCTTACTGGAAGGAGATAATCTCATATAGCTGGAAACTGAACCAGGCACCCAGAACTCAAAAGGAACACCTTATCAAAGACAAACAACAGATCATGTTTGTTTCAGCATAAGCGCTTCCATGAAATTCTGTTTTATTATTTATTTCAAAAGTTTTTGAAGATGAGTATTGTATACTCATAAATGTATTTTATACTAAATGTAAATATAAATGTATTTCTAGCACATATCCCCCTTCCCTTTTTAAATTTAAATTTAAGAGAGGTTCCTTAGGACTTAATCCTAGAAATGATTTCCTTCCTATTTCACAAAGTGTACCAAGATTATTGATGTGGTTTATCAGTCTTTGGAATCATAAAAGTATCAGAGTGGAGGTATAGGTGGCTGCTAAGAGGAGGTTCAGTGACCACAGCAAACAAAGATGGCTATGTGTTACAAATACATTTACATACACAATACTCATCTTCAAAAACTTTAAAACCTCAGAAGCCCTAGCACTATAGATTTGGTTTTCCTCACTCACTTTGTGGCTTCAAAAAATGGTGGGAGAGGGGTAGGGGGCAGTCAAATAGCTCAGCAGATTAAAGCGCCTGCAAGCAGGCACAGGGCCCAGGGGTTTGATCCCTGGGCCATTTTGCCAGCCCCACTCTCGGGGCACATTAAGACAGCAGTTGAGACTGGGCGTGGTGGTGCACACCTGTAATCCCAGCTCTCGGGAGGCTGTAAACAGGCAAATCACTATGAGTCTGATCTAGTAGTGAGACCCTGAACACCTTGTAAACCCTTCCTTAAAATAAGAAAAAAAGATAGTGTGGCATAACAATGCAGGCCACAAATCAGGGTTCTGTTTTATTTTATTTCATTTTATTTTATTTTAAGAGTAAGAACAAATAGCGGAAACAAAGACAAAAACAGTGACAAGCGACAGTACAAACAGTACAGAGTTTTAAAACAAGAATAAAAATTTAACAATGGTTGTTATAGTACATATTTTCATCGTCAAATCTGTTGTGCAAAAGGGATCAAATAATTAAATATAGGTATAATATAGGTATAGGTAAATATAGGTATAATTCGATATAGGTATAATTCGATATAGGTATAATTAGATATAGGTATAATTAGATATAGGTGTGCAAAAGGGATCAAATAATTAAACAGTAATGCTTCCTTTCAATAAACTTTAATTTTTTCTCGTCCTTTTTTACTTTATATTTTTAAAAATTTACTTTAAAGAGAGACTATTCATTGATAACATGTTAGAAATGATACACATCTAGAAGAACAGATGAGAGAGGTATGGGGCCGGGGAGATGGCTTAATGGAATATGCGCTTCCCTGGCAAGCACAAGGGCCTGAGTTCAATCCCCGGTTCCATGGGAAAAAAAAAAAAAAAAGATGAGAGAGGTATGAGGTGTGGGTTTTGTATTGCATTTTGCTTTGATGCAGTTGCTCAGACTGCAGATGATAGCCTATGGAGTTAGTCAATGTGAGAATTTTGAACATTAACTGCTTCCTTCAAAAAACCGATGGAAATGAGCACTATAATCAGGCCAGGTATTTCGAATATATGCTTGCATGATTTTTCCCCCTTACCTTTTTTCCTATCTCCTTTCCCTTTCCCTCATCTTTGATGTTTATTCCTTGTGTCCAATTTCTTTCTGTTTTATTGTATCTATTATTCTTTTCAGATTTTACTTATTCTTTCAGGTTCGGACACTAAGGGGACATATGATATTTACACATGTCAGTCTGATGTGTTTCACTTATGAGTTTCATCCACTTACCTAGAAAGGCCTCAAGTTTGTCTTTCTTTAGAGCTCAGTAATACTCCATTGTACAAAAATACCACATGTATTTAAGTCAGGGGTCTCATCCACCAAGATCCAAACATTTAAAAACAATGCAATTCTCAAGACTATACTAGTATGTGAAATAAATCAGGCACAGAAGGTTAAATGCCACATTCTATAAATAATTTAAAAAGCAGTTATTGGGCTGGAGAGATGGCTCAGTGGTCTAAAGCACCTACTTAGAACAAGCTT